CAAGCTGTTCCAGTACAGTTACAACACTGGCATTTACTTGACACTGTGGAAAATTGCCCAGGTATGTCCTTTACACATACTAAAAAGGACAAATCCAACCCAGGCCCGTCAGTCTACTCTCAATCATCAGTAGAATAATGGGGTGGTTATGGTGGAGATTTTAACTTTCCAAACATGGACTGGAGCTGCCATAGTGTTAAGGGCCTAGATGGAGAGGAACTCATTAAATGTGTACAAGAAATTTTTCAGATTCAGTATGTGGATGCACCTATCAGAGAAGGTGCAAAATTTGACCTACTCTTGGAAAATAGGGCAGGGCAGGTGACAGTGGGGGAGCACTTGGGGGCCATGACCACAATTCTATTAGTTTGAAAATGGTGATGGAAAAGGATAAACCGGATCTAAAAGTTAAAGTCCTAAATTAGGGGGAAGGCCAATTTTTGACGGTATTAAGCAAGAACTTTCAAAAACTGGGGGCAGATGTTTGCAGGTAAAGGGATGGCTGGAAAATGGAAAGCCTTCAAGAATGAGATAATGAGAGTCCAGAGACAGTATGTTCCTGTTAGGGTTAAGGGCAAGGCTTTGGTAAGTGTAGGGAATGTTGGATGACAAGAGACATTGAGGGTCTGGTCAAGAAAAAGAAGGAAGCATATGTCAGGTATAGACAGCCGGGATCGAGTGAATCCCAAGAAAAGTAGGAGTATACTTAAGAGAGAAATCCAGGAGGGCAAAAAGGGGACATGAGATACCCTATTTTCCAAAGCTTAAGGAGAATCCAAAGGGATTCTACAAATACAAAAAGGACAAAAGGGTAACTAGGGAGAGATTAGGGCACCTTAAAGATCAGCAAGGCTGCCTATGTGTGGAACCACAGCAGATGGGGCAGCAAGTAAACATGTATTTGCATCAGTGCTTACTGTGGAGAAGAATATGGAAGGTAGAGAACAAGGGGAAGTAAACAAGTGATATCTTGAAAAATGTCTGTATTACAGAGGAGGAAGTGCTGGATGTCTTAAAACTCATTAAGGTAGATAAATCCCCAGGACCTGATCAGATGTACTCTGGAACTCTGGGAAGCTAAGGAAGTGTTTGCTGGGCCCCTTGCTGAGATATTTTTACCATCGATATCCACAAGTGAGGTTCCAGAAGACTGGAGGTTGGCTAATGTGATGCCACTATTTAAGAAAGGTGGTAAGGAAAAGCCAGGGAGCAACAGACCAGTGAACCTGACATCAGTGGCAGGCAGGTTGTTGGAGGGAATCCCAAGGGATAGGGTTTACATGTATTTGGAAAGGCAAGGATTGGTTAGGGATAGTTAACATGGCTTTGTGCATGGGAAATCGTGTCTCACTAACTTGATTGAGTTTTTTGAGGAAGTAATAAAGAGGATTGATGTGGGCAGAGTGATGGACGTGATCTATGTTGGTAAGACATTCGACAAGGTTCCTCATGGTAGACCAGTTAGCAAGGTTAGGTCACGTGGATTACAGGGAGAACTAGCCATTTGGATACAGAACTGGCTCGAAGGTAGAAGACAGAGGCTGGTGGTGGAGGGTTGCTTTTCAGATTGGAGGCCTGAGACCAGTGGTGTGCCACAAGGATCTGTGCTGAGTCCACTACTTTTCTTCATTTATATAAATGATTTGGGTGTGAACATAGGAGGTATGGTTAGTAAGTTTACAGATGACAGCAGAATTGGAGGTGCAGTGGACAGCGAAGAAGGCTGCCTCAGAGTATAACGGGATCTTGTTCAGATGAACCAATGGACTGACGAGTGGCAGATGGAGTTTAATTTAGATAAATATGAGGTGCTGCATTTTGGACATGCAGATCAGGGCAGGACTCATACATCTAATGGTAATGTTGTGGGGAGTGTTGCTGAACAAAGAGACCTTGGTATGCAGGTTCGTGGTTCCTTGGAAGTGGAGTCACAGGTAGACAGGGTAGTGAGGAAGGTGTTTGGTGTGCTTGCCTTTATCGGTCTGTGTATTGAGTATAGGAGTTGGGAGGTCATGTTGCAGCTGTAGAGGACATTGGTTAGGCCACTTTTGTATACTGCATTCAATTCTGGTCTCGCTGCTATAGGAAAGATGTTGTTAAACTTGAAAGTGTTCAGAAAAGATATACAAGGATGTTGCCAGGATTTTAGAGGGTTTGAGTTATAGGGAGAGGCTGAAGGGGCTGGGCCTTTTTACCCCGGAGTGTCAGAGGCTGAGGGGTGACCTTTATAGAAGTTTATAAAATCATGAGGGGCATGGATAGGATGAATAGCCAAGGTCTTTTTTTTTTCCCAGTGTAGCGAATTCCAAAACTGGAGAGTGTAGGGTTACGGTAACAGGGGAAAGATTTAAAAGGGACTTGAGGGGAAACTTTTTCACACAGAAGGTGGTGCATGTATGGAATGAGCTGCCAAGGAGGTGGTGGAGGCATAATATTTAAAAGGCATCTGGATGGGTATATGAATAGGAAGAGTTTAGAGGGATATGGGCCAAATGCTGGAAAATGGGACCAGATTTATTTAGGATATCTGGTCGGCATGGACCAAAGGGTCTGTTTCTGTGCTGTACACCTCTATGACTTGAAAGTGATGGAAGATATCATCAACAGCGCAATCAAGCAGCAGCTGCTCAGTAATAACCTGCTCAGTGATGCCCAGTTTGGGTCATACCAGGGCCACTCAGCTCCTGACTTCATTACAGCTTTGATTCAAACATGGACAAAAGAGCTGAATTCGAAAGGTGAGCTGAGAGCGACCGCCCTTGACATCAAGACTGCATTTGACCAAGCATGACATCAAGCAGCCCTAGCAAGACAGGAATCAATGAGTATCAGGGCACAAATGCTCCTGTGGTTGGAGTCATACCTAGCCTATGTTAAGGTGGTTATGGTTGTTGGAGGTCAGTCATCTTGGTTTCGGGGTATTTCTTCAGGCATTCCTCAGGGTGATGTCCTAAGCCCAACCATCTTCAGCTGCTTCATCAATGACATTCTGTTCATCAGAAGGTCAGAAGTGGGGAAGTTCATTGACTGCCCAATGTTCGGCACAATTTGTGACTCCTCAGATACTGAAGCAGTCCATGTTCAAATGCAGCAAGATCTGGACAATGTCCAAGCTTGGGCCGACAAGTGGCAAATAACATTCGCATCACACAAATACCTGGCAATGCGATCTCCAACAAAAGATGATCTAACCACTGATTCTTGACATTCAGTGGTGTTACCATCATTGAATCCACCATTTTGAACATTCTTGGGTTTACTGTTGACCGGAAACTCAAGTGGACTCACTACTGGAAAAGGTTAGCGGCTAGGAATACTGCCATATTTCCAGCCACCAAATTGCTGTTGTAGCTCCTGTGTTTATGTAGTAAGTCCACTTGAGTTTCTAGTCAATGGTAAACCCAAGGATGTTCATAATGGTGGATTCAGCGATGGTAACACCAATGAATATCAAGAGGCAGTAGTTAGATCGTCATTTATTGGAGATGGCATTGCCTGGCATTTGTCTGGTGCGAATGTTATTTGCCACTTGTCGGCCCAAGCCTGGATATTGTCCAGATCTAGTTGCATTTGAACATGGACTGCTTCAGTATCTGAGGAGTCACAAGTGGTGCTGAACATTGGGCAGTCCTCAGTAACTGACCATCTGATTCCCCAAAACCTGCCCGGTATCTACAACGCACAAGTCAGGAGTGTGATGGAATACTCCCCACTTGCCTGGATGGGTGCAGCTCCAACAACACTCGAAACTTGACACCATCTGGGACAAAGCAGCCCACTTGATTGGCACCACATTCAGAAGCATCCACGCCCTCCATCATCAATGCTCAGTAACAGCAGTGTGTACTAGATAGAAGATGCGCTTCAGAAATTCATCCAAGATCCTTAGCACTTTCCAAGCCCAGATCACTTCCATCAGAAGGACACGGGCAGCAGATACGTAGGAATAGCACCACTTGCAAGTTGCCTTCCAAGGCACTCACCATCCTAACTCAGAAACATATCACCGTTCCCTCACTGTCACTGGGTCAAATCCTGGAATTCCCTTCCTAAAGGCATTGTGGGTCTACCTACAGCACGTGGATCGCAGCAGTTGAAGAAGGCAGCTCACCACCACCCTCTCAAAGGCAACTAGGGTCAAGCAATAAATCCTGGCCAGCCAGTGATGCCCATGTCCCACAAATAGATAAAAAATACATGTAACTGGGCGATAGCAAGAACTGCTAATGCTGGAGTCGGAGTCAATACATTGCGGAGTTAGGAACACAGCAGGTCAGGCAGCATTAGAGGAGCAGGAAAGATAACATTTCAGGTTGGGACCCTTCAATAGTGTTACTGAAGAACCTGGTGTGAGTTGCTTTTGTCTTGAGTATCATTCAGTCAAGCAAATTGATCTGTTTGGGGGCCTTATTGAGATTTCATATGTTTACAAATATGTTTACATGTTGTGACGCCCTGTGGAATAGTTGAGCATGATTATTGGCACACTCTTCCCAGGTAAATCTTGACCGTAAGATTGAGCTGAATTGCTGGCCTAATTTGTAATGAATTTCTAAAAATGTTGGCCAAGGTTTCAATTTCAAAGTAAACTGGAGTCTGAATTAAGTTTTTGTAACCCCAGTTACAGGCATCAAAATTAATTTAACAGCAAGAAATGAATTTTGAGGATAAAAGTCACAAGCTTGTTATAGTGCTGCAATCACTCTTTTTAAAATATCAAATGTGTGGTAAATTAGTGCATAAAATATGGTGCAATCTTTTTGGATTTTATACCTTTTCTCCTTTTTCTGTCATCCAGCCAAAACAAAACAATAATTATGATGTTTACATATTTGACCATGGGTTAATTTACTTCACTGTTTTATGTTTAAATCTTGTTAATACATTCAGCTGCTAAGTGTAAAATTTAAATAAGCATTGTCTTCAATTTCTCAAAGGTTAGTGAAATTATGTCACTTTGTTTTCATGTTATAATTATTCACTACTGTTCTTTAATGCAGTCGGGGAGCAAATTTTGTCACACAGGTATTGTTGAGACCAGGAGCTTCAGACTTGACAGGTAGCTTCAGGTAGGAGTGTGGTTTAATATCATTCCTCTAATTTACATTTGTGTGGGTGTAATTTTGTACCTTGAGGGCATGTAAAGAAGTATATATAGTTATCAAACAACAGCCAAAAATGCTGTTTTCCTATTAAGTTCAATCAAGCAAGTTCTTCCTACTGTACTGAGAGCAATGAAGAATAGAATTTAAGGCTAATCTTCTAACACATTAAACCTGACTGAACCCACAGAACACTTTGTGACAAAATCTGACTGTTTGTACAAAGCTGTAAGTCTCTAATGTGGGTAGAGTGGAAGGACAGAAGAATTTTGTCAGCATTTTTACCACATATTGTCTTGTAAAGGTCGAATTTTGGAGACCAGTTTTCTCAGCCAAGTCTCTCAGGGTTGACTTTTTTTGGAGATGTTTTTGAGACATTGATGTACCTACGTGGTTTGGACCCAAAATAATTGTCACAATGAAATAAAGTAAAATCAACAACACCAAATAATTCATTATTAATTTTCTAGCATTTATTTATTTCATAATACAAACTATATACATTGCATGCTTACTAGTTATCTAACATTTACACACTTATTTATTGATACTTATTTTCTTTATTTAAACACTTTTAATGAAATCTAATCATGAACGTCTCTGGGAATAAACGTTTGGTTCTAAAATCTTTTGGGCTTCGATCTTAAAAAAAAAAAGTCAACTTTTTGATGAAATATATGCAAAATTATGATGGGGGGGTGGGGTTTAGGCTGAAAATCATGGTATTGACTTGTATATGACTATATATGGTGTTTCTGTTGTCCATTAGCTATCAATTTAAATTTGAATTATTTGATTCTATCTCTTCTATACATTTAACCATTTATACTGTTAGTGAAGGTAAGAATGGGTGGAGAAATGGCAGATGTAGTTTAATCTGGGCAAATGAGGTGCTGCACTTTAGGAGATCAAATGTTAATGAAAAATATACAGTTTATGGCAGGATTCTGAACAGCATCGTTTTTTTTCTCTCTCCTTTTGTTCATTCACAGTATGTTGGTATTGCTGGCTCGGTCAGCATTTATTGCCCATCCCTAATAACCTAGAGGGCAGTTAAGATTCCACATTGATCCCACATTGCTGTGGGTCTAGAGTAACATGAAGGCCAGACTGGTAAGGATGGCAGTTTCCTTTCCTACAGGACATTAGTGAACCAGATGGCTTTTTCCTAACAATCGAGAATGGATTCATGGTCAAGCTGAGACTCTTAATTCCAGATTTTTATTGAAATTAAGTTCCATCATCTGTCATGGCTGGATTTGAACCCAGGACATTACTTGCGTTGCTGATTAACAGTCCAGTGATCATACCACTATGCCACTGCCTCCCCTAAAGTGTACAAAGAGATTTTGTGGGGTTCAAGTCTATAGCTATAGCTCCCTGAAAGTGCCACACAAGGAGATAGGGTGGTAAAGAAGGTGTATGGCATGCTTGCCTTTATTGATCGGGCCATTGAGTACAAGAGTTGGGATGTCAAGTTGCAGCTTTATAAGACTTTGGTTAGGCTGCAGTTACAGTATTGCATTCAGTTTGGTCACCACACTACAGGAAGGATGTGGAGGCTTTGGACAGGGTGCAGAAGAAGTTCACTAGGATGCTGCCTGGACTGGAAGCTATCAGCTATAGTAAAAAAAACTAGAAAAATTAGGGTCGTTTTCTCTGGAGTGGTGGAGGCTGAAGGGAGGCTTAATAGAAGCCTATAAAATTATGAGATGCGTAGATACACTTGATAGTCAGAATCTTTATCCCAGAGTTGAAATGTCTCATATCAGGGGCATGCATTTAAACTTGGGTGGGGGGGGGTAGATGGAATTTCAAAGGAGATGTGAGGGACAAGTTTATTACACAGTGTGGTTGGTGTCCAGAACGTGCTGCGGGGTGGTGGTGGAGGCAGATACAAGAGGGGTGTTTAATGGGCTTTTAGATAAGTGCATGAATATGTAAGGAATGGAGGGGAAAAGGACCAATGGCAGGCAGAAGGGATTAATGTAATGTAATTTGGTATCGTGTTTGGCACAACGTCATGGGCCAAGGGGCTGTTTTGTGCTGTACTATGTCCTGTGAATCCCAAATTTTTCCTGTTCTTCCCCTTATGTTTTTTTGAAGTTGTCTATTTGAAAATAGGCCACTGTAGCTGATTCTACATAATCCTGCCCTTCTCATGAAGGTTAAGTGCTTTTCAGCAGTAGATCAGTGGAAAGGAATTAGAGTAGCAGCCCCTGGCAGATTTCTGTACCTCCCTTTTCTAGTCAGGGGAACACTTCACTGTCCTACCACTGCCCTAGCCGAGACCAACTCGGCTATCATGCAATTCCGATCAAAAAATGAACTTTGTACTCTGCAGCTGTGTAGTGTCATATGCTGCATTTCTTATGAATCAGTTCCTCAATATTTTTGCTTCCAGAGATGAAAGCTATACACACTACAGGAACAGCACTTTGCAGTGGTAGTACTTCCAGTTTTGGATTAGAAACTGTAGGAAATGCAAGTGTATATCCTAATTGTTTTCTCCCTCTCCAATATCTGCTTAAAGTCATGCATTTAAATATAAGCTAATGTATTTCTATGTACAGGTTATACAAAAAAGAAGTACTGCAGAAACTGGTTGAAAAGTGTGTATCGAAAGGATACGTCTTTCAAATGGAGATGATCGTTAGGGCTCGCCAGCTGGATTACAGTATTGGGGAGGTATGAAATGAGCTCCACAAAATAAATCTAAAACTGAATTTCTGAGAATCATTTGTCCTCCATTACAAAATGTATCTTGGGTATGGAACATAATGTCATAACTAAGTTGAAGCTTTTTTTGAGAAAAGCTTAATGATAACCATTGTTTCATTGTACGTCTGGTGTACAGACTTCAAAAGATTAAATGCAGGACACTGCACTTTTTGTATTGTTACAGATTTGTTTTTAATGTTGTCATACATAATATGTATGGGATACTAATGGTGGTTTCCTTTCCTGGACAATTAAACAGTAAACTCAATACACACAATGTGCATGTAAGCACATCAATAGGGGGGAGAAAAAAATTAAGACATAGTTTTCTTGTTGCCAGTGCCAAATATTTAGGCAGATTGATGTAGGCAAAACAAGAAGAAAAGACAAAGTAGACAAACAGGGGGGCTAGAAGAACACAGCAAGCCAGGCAACGTCTGGAGGAAAGGAGAAGTCAAAGTTTTGGGTATTACCCCTCTTCACGACTGGATGTTGGGGTAGACCGATCAAATACGAAATCTGATCAGGAGGAGGAAGTCATTTGGCTCTGTGAATCTTTGTTGCATTACCTCTAGGGAAAGTATGTCACGCACTGCAGGAATTGCAAAATGCTCTGTGTATTAATATCTCTTTAACTCATACACTTGAATCCCTTTGTAAATAAACATACCATATTCATTCCTTTCGAAGTATGTGCAAGAAAATATGTGGCTGTACCTACTAGAGAAGGAGCAATATTTGACCCAGTTTTGGGAAATAAGGCAGGGCAAGCGACCGAGGTGTCGGTGGGAGAGCACTTTGGGGCAAGTAATTATAATTCTATTAGTTTTTAAAATAGTTATGGGAAAGGACAGACTTGATCTAAAAGGCCAATATTAGGTAGGAACTTTCAAAAATTGACTAGGTGAGGCTGTTTGCAGGCAAAGGGATGGTTGGAAAGTGGGAGGCCTTCAAAAATGAGATAACAAGAGTTCAGAAATAGAACGTTCCGGTTTAGTGCAAAGGGCAAGGCTTGTAGATGTCAGGAATGCTGAATGACTCAAAATTGAGGCTCTGGTCAAGAAAAAGAAGGAGGCGTATGGTCAGGTATAGATAGCTGGGATTGAGTGAATCCCTTGGAGTATAAGGGCAGTAGGAATATACTCAAGAAGGAAATCAGAAGGGCAAAAAGGGGACATGAGATAGCTTTAGCAAATAGGGTTAAGGAGAATCCAAAGAAATTCTACAAATACATCAAAGGCAAAGGGTTACTGGGGAGCAAATAGGGCCCCTTAGGCCATCTATGTGTGGAACCACAGGAGGTGCTGAGATACTAAACAAATATTTTGCCCTGGTGGAGAAGGATATGGAAACTAGGGAATTTGGGGAAATAAATAGCAGCGTCTTAAGTTGCTCATATTACAGAAGAGGAGGTGCTAGAGGTCTTAAACTGTATAAAGATAGAGAAATCCCCGGGACCTGATCAGGTGTTTCCCAGAGCTTCATGGGATGCTAGAGAAGAGATTGCTGGGTCCCTGGCTGAGATATTTGCATCAACGACAGCCATAGGTGAAGGGCCAGAAGACTGAAGGGTTCCTAATGGACCATTATTTAAGAAAAGTGGTAAGGAAAAGACAGAACTGTAGACTGGTGAGCCTGACATCAGTGGTGGCTAAGTTGTTGGAGGGGATTCTGAGGCATAGGATTTATATGCATTTGGAAAGGTAAGGAGTGATTAGGGATAATCCGTATGGTTTTGTGCATGGGAAATCGTGTCTCACCAACTTGATTTGAGTTTTTTGAAGAGATAATGAAGATTGATGAAGCCGTGGTTGTTGTCTATATGGACTTCAGCAAGGTGTTCAATAGGGTTCTGTGTAGTATGTCTGGCTAATAAGGTTAGATCACATGTAGTCCAGGGGAGCTAGCCAATTGAATATAAAATTGGCTTGAAGATAGGAGACGGAGGGTGGCAGTGGACAGTTGCTTATCGGACTAGAGGGATGTGAGTAGCAGTGTGCCGCAAGGCTCAGCGCCGAGTCCACTGCTTTTCATCATTTATATAAATGCTTTGGATGTGAATGTAGTGAGTATGGTTAATAAGTTTGCAGATAACACCAAAATTGGTGATGTAGTGGACGGTGAAGAAGTTTATCTCAAATTTCAACAGGACCTTGATCAGATGGGCCAACGAGCCGAGGAGTAGCAGATGGATTTTAATTTGGATAAATGTGAAATGTTGCACTTTGATAAGGCAAATCAGGGCAGGACTGACACAGTTAGTGGTAGGGTCCTAAGGAGTGTTGCCGGACAAAGAAACCTAGGGGGCCAGGTGCATAGTTCCTTGAACTTGGAATCGCATTTAGCCACCGTGGTGAAGAAGTTGTTTGGTACGCTTGCCAAATTTGGTCAGTGCATTGAGTGTAGGAGTTGGGAGGTCATGTTGCAACTGCACAGGACATTGGTTAGGCCACTTTAGGAATACTGCCACGCAATTCGGTCACCCTGCTATAGGAAGGATGTTGTGAAACTTGAAAAGGTTCAGAAAAGATTTTACAAGGTTGTTGCCAGGGTTGGAAGGTTTGAGCCAAAGGGAGAGGTTGAATAGACTGGGGCTTTTTTCCCTGGAGTGTTGGAGGCTGAGGGGTGACCTTAGAGGTTTATAAAGTCATGAGAGTCATGGATAGGGTGAATAGCAAAGCTTTTTCTCCCTGGGCTGGGGAGTCCAAAACTAGAGCATGGATTTAAGGTGAGAGGGGAAAGATTTAGGAGGGACCTAAATAAGGGGTAACTTTTGCATGCGGAGGGTGGTGTGTGTATGGAATGAGCTGCTGGGGACACGGCGGAGATGGGTACAATTACAGCATTTAACAGGCATCTGGATGGGTAGGTGAATAGAAAGGATTTAGGGACATATGGCCCAGATTGTAGCATATGGGACTAGATCAGTTTAGGATACCTGGTCGTCGCATAAGAGTTGAATCGAAGGGTCTGTTTCCATGCTGTACATCTCCATGGTTCTATCGAACCTGAATTTTAAGTTTCTGTAATATTGTACACATCTGATTTATCTGATTGACTTTTTATCTGATGATTTCATTGTCACGTGTACCGAAATACAGTGAAAAGCTTTGTTTTGTGTGATACATGCAGATCACAGCAAGCTAAAGATGTACAGATCAAAAGACTTGGAGGCGTACAGGTTACATTATTTGAGGCTATAGTCCATTCAACAGTCTGATAATGACCAGAAAGAAGCTGTTCCTAAACCTGTTTGTGCATGAGTTCAGGCTTCTGTATCTTCTGCCTGACGGAAGAGGTTGTAGGAGGTCATTACAAGGGTGCGATGGTCTTTGATGATATTGGCTGCCTTTACACTGCAGCGAGCTGTGCAAGTAGAGTCCATGGATCAAAGGTTGGCTTCCGTGATGGTCTCGGTTGTACACATCACCTTCGATAGTTTCTTACGGTCCTGGGCAAAGCAGTTGCCATACTAGGCCGTTATGCACCCGGTTATTATGCTTTCAATGATGCATCTGTAGAGGTTGGTGAGGGAGCTTATGGACATGCCAAATTTCCTGAGCCACCTGAGAAAGGAGAGGCGTTGTTGTGCCTTAATTGTCGCATCTATGTGGGAAGTCCAGAACAGGTCATCGGTTATCGTCACTCTGAGGAACTTAATGCTGTTCACTTTCTTAACCTCAGTTTCGTTGATGTAGATGGGGGTGTGTTCTCCTCCCTTCCTTCTGAAGCCAATGATCAGTTCTTTAGTTTTTCTGACGTTGAGAGACAGCTTGTTTTTATTGCACCACATCACCAAGCTCTCTATCTCCCTTCTGTATTTTGACTCGTTGTTAGATATTGTCCCACTATGGTGGTGTCAACAGCGAACTTGTAGATGGCGTTCGTTCAGAATTTGGCAACACAGTCATAGGTGTACAGGGAGTACAGTAGGGAGCTGAGGACACATCCTTCGGGGGCTCTAGTGTTGAGTGTTATTTTGGAGGAGGTGCAGTTACCTATCCTTGCTGATTGCGGCCTTTGTGTTGGAAAACTGAGGATCCAATTGCAGAGGGCGGAGCCGAGACCAAGGCCATGCAGTTTTGAGATCAGTCTGGAGGAGATAATGGTGTTGAAGGCGGAACTGTAGTCAATGAGCAAGAGTCTGACATAGGTGTCTTTCTTGCCCAGATGATCCGGGAATGAGTACAGGGCTAGGGATATGGCATCCTCTGTGGATCTGCTACGTCGGTAGGCAAACTGTAGGGGATTGAGGCAGGTTGAAGGACTGGAGTTGATGTGGGCCATGACCAGCCTTTCGAAACACTTCATGATTATTGAAGTCAGAGCTATTGGGCAGTAGTCATTAAGGCATACTGCATGTGTTTTCTTGGGTACGGGGATGATGGCGGTCTTCTTGAAGCAGGTGGGGACTTCGGCTTGTAGGAGGGAGGGGTCGAAGGTTTCGGTGAATACCTCCACCAATTGGTCTGCACAGGATCTGAGTGTTTGGCAAGGGATCTGTGTCCGTTGCTTTCCTTGGGTTGACTCCCAGGAAGACTGATCTGAATTCTGAAGCGGTGACAGAGGGAACAGGTGTGTCTGGGGCTGTCGGGGCAGGCATTGCCAAATGGTGGTATTCTTCTCAAACCGAGCATAGAAAGCATTGAACGTGTCAGGGAGAGATGTGTCATTGTCCACTATCTTACACTGTTTCATTTTGTATCCCGTAATGTTGTTTAGGCCCCGCCATAGACAGCGGGAGTCTGTTTGGCCGGTCTGGGCCTCTAACTTGGTCTTGGTACTACTTCTTGGCCTCCTTGATGGCTTTGCGGAGGTCATATCTGGATTTTCTGTATTGGTCCAGGTCACCCGACTTGAAAAATACAGGTACGCAGGTTCCTCTGGATGTAAACATTCTCAGTGTCTCACCATTTTAAACTTTTCCCTACCAAGTGAATAATATCACACTTATCCACATTGTATTG